CTACGCAGGCGGAAAGAACAAGCCTATAAACCAGGACAAATAATCTATGTCTAGCGGTTAACAATTTTGATCAAAGTGGTAATAAATCGGTTGAAGAAATTGTACATCCACACTATCCTGGGAAACTCTAGTTGTCGTGGCATGTGGAGGGCTATCAATCGATTGCTTGGTGGTATCAGTAAACACAAAAAGAAAACTGTCGGCGTTGAAAGAATAAATTCTGAGTATAGTCCATTTTTCACAGTGCACTGCCCTGCCTGACTTATTCAGCTCTATGCCAACACCAATTATCGAACACGCTACAGTCCTTCAACAGCTACTGAAAACAAAGTTGAATAAGCCATCGGGCCCGGATAAACTGTCACCCGTGGTATGTGTGGACACCTTTTCAGCCCCATTGTTTAAAATATTCAATGACTGTCTGATAAGCGGAAAAATCCCTGATATTTGGAGACTGGCTAAGATAAGTTCCGTTCCAAAATTATAACCTGGAAAGTATCACACCATCGCCTGCACGTCAGTCATACTGAAATTATTTTGGAGATGCTTCCTAAGGTGGGTTGTCACTAAGTTTGAGGAAGACGACATACATCAAGTGGCACATTGCTCTTCGCAGTTAACACTTGCTGCCGTTGCATTCCTTGTTCATTCAATAATTTCGGCACTAGATAAGAAAGATACAACCGTCAGAATGATGTTCTTAGACTACAAAAACGCTTTCGGCAGTCTTCATCGTTCTGTATTGCTCAACCTGATTAACTAAAGTGGTGTTAATCCAAACGTTAGCAGATTTTTCTGCGATTATTTCACAAATAGAAGGCAGTTTACTTGTCTCAACGGCAAACGTTTTCCACTCGCCCAGTTTCTTCTGGTGTTCTGCAAGGTGCAATATTGGCCCCATTTTACTTTTTAATGTATGTCAAACAATTTCCCATTCCGGTTACATTCATTGGCTGTAAATACGCAGAAAATAATTTGTTTTAGGTAACAAAGCATACACCCTTGAAGATTCTTCAGAAATTCAAAGCAAGCTAAACGACGTTCTCACTTGGTGCTTGTCCCGTTCTCTCTCATTGAATGACTCTGAATGTCAGGATGCTGTGTTTTCCCTCTTGACCGACGTACCATATTCAGCTCTCAAAAATAGGTTCCCCACCCTCTCTGTCAATCATGAACCCGTACCGATTTCAACAATATTAAAATACCTTGGCGTCACTTAATCACACATTTTATCGTGATCACTGCATGTTGAAAACACATTCTGTAAAGTTGAAAAGCTTTCACATTTCTCACTCCGATTGCGACTACTTTCTGTTCCCCATAAGCTGATTGTTAGGTTTGCGAATGCATGCGTGCTACTTCACTGGTTGTATAGCTCTCCACTGATTTTTCCCGGCATGTTGAAGAAATAATTTTATTTACTGGTGAGATTTCTGAAACACATCTCTAAATATAATGGCATTGCCAGTCATAAAATCGCCGAGGCAGACACCTACAAGCATGCTAAAGTTTCACTATCAAAATACTCTCACACAATCACCATCTATTACACAACTAATTTTCAAAAGCTGTATCTACATCATCCACACGCTCAGGATTTAAACTTTTATTGTAATTCTGTTCTGCCATATCTAGTACGTCTACTTATTGACAAGGTGAAAATTTCGACAGAAATGCTCAAATGCTTGCTTCATTGACAAACACATTATCTTTCAGTTTCATTATGTAATGATGTTGTTAGTTTGAATCCACAAATATGGTGTGTAAATGCTGAAATTTCACCCATCCGGGTGCATAAAACTTACTACTGAGTTGGCTTGATCTGAATTCAAATGGATTATAATTAGTCCAACAAAACTAATTGCAAGTGAAAAAAATAATGCGGTGTGTGTGTGCGCGATTGATTCCGGGCATAAGGGGTTCCTGATGAAAGTGGCAAACTAACTTATCATACCACTGAACAGGAGACTGACCCACATAGGTATCGTTAGGCACCCTGGCTGGGGACCCAGAGATTGTGGTCACCGGTGGTTAGACACACTGAGCGATATGGCTGGGTGTCGCAAACAGTGGGGCTCATGCAGCTACTCATTATTCTTGTAACTGCAGTCTGTGAAAATGTGCTACCTTCTGCTTAAATCTACTCTCAACATTCTAATCATCATACTGCTACTTCATCCAAATGAGCAACCAAAGCCGGAGCACGAAAGTGCATGGTTAATGGTTGTAAGAACTGAATTGAAAAGGAGTGGTATTTTATCTTCGTCATTTATGCAACTCTCGCATGTGGCTCGAAAGATCGAAGACACAGCATAGATCAGTGCCTAAACCGCAAGCTACTCAATAGATGAGTCAAACAAGTCCGAGGATGAATCAGACTTAACATCTGCCGAAAGACAGTATTCTGTTTACGACCAGAATGATAATTGTTGCCTCGTCCAACAGTTATGAATGAAATCTGTGCAGCTAGCATGAATGCTTGAATCTTTGTGTTGAATTAAAGTCGATTGAATGGCTCACAATTTACTGGAAACCATGTAGTCACATATAATGTTTTCAAGCACTACTCAGTTGTGCAAAGACCAAAAATGCTCTTTCATTTTATAGATCTTTTCCTGTCTTATTCCAATCGATGTTTCCTCTTTTCTGAAGAACAACACGGAAACCAATCTCAAAGAATTGTGTCTTTTCGTCTTCTGTGGGTTAGCTCTCTTTGATAATGTGGATCACTTCATGGACTGGAAAATACTATCCTACAAAATTGGGATTGCACGGCATATTGTAATTATTTTCACATTTGGTTTCAGTAAATCTCTTACCGGGCAAGCAACAAACAAATGTTCACGAAGTATGCAAAAAACAATAAATGCGATTAGCGTGTCCCGAGGGAACAACCGTTTCTAGACAATTATCTGTAGACTCGTCACAACAACTGAGTACAATCTAGGATTCATACTGCATGCTAGTTTTATCGTAAAAGTCCAGTGTAAAAATGTTCAGAACAGAAAACTGAATCTAACAGAATACGCCAGTGGAGCAAAGGATTTTGGAGCAATTTGAGCAAAAACGCTCCTGTTGAAACAAAACAACGAACCAACGACAAACAGAATTGAGAATGACTTCTTTAAAAAAAATGATAATTTTTCGTGATCTTGAAAAGATTTTAGCGTGTCCAATTTTGGTCAGTACGAAAAACACAAGTGTCCACCCACTTTCTGACTGTTCTTGTCCCCCAGAATCAAGTTGCTTCTCCCAGCCACAGATAGGGACGGAAATAAATCAAATATTTGTATCTTTAAAGCATGCACAAAAGAAATGTTCCCCTTCGTATTTGATAAACGTCAAGATGCATGGAATTCAGGTGAAGCAAAAAACTCCGTCCAACGTATTAAACAGATTGACATTTGTTTAAATGTAGATTCTCCTGAAATAAATGTTGTTCATGGGAGATTCGACACCCCCTCCCCCAAATTTAAATGCTTGAGAGAAAATCCATTGTTTTTCAAACAATATCAAGATAGCTCAGTATAATGATGCCGTTCTTCAAAACAAATGAAACCGTTGACTATGTAAACAAAAAACCATGGTATGTTACCATGGAGCTGTACTGAGATTTCCACGTAATGTTTTCTTTGTTTACGGAAATAATGTGACTAACCTCGTTTGCACGTCATTATGGTGAACGAACAATCTGGTGTGCATAAATGCTGATCACTTACAAGTACCGTAAACATTATTTGCTTATTTGTTGTGTTCATTACGTTTGCACATCGCTCATTTGGAACTCCAAGGTGAAATTTGTGTATTTCAACCCAAACTAGTGGTATATTTAACCATTATTTGTCAACTACCGATCGTAAAACCTTAAACGCCAAAAACCCCTAATCAAAGCCATATACCTTGGATGAAGTAAAGAGAAAAGAGCTGTCTTCCTTCTCTGATTAAAACATTGATTGATGCAATTTTTCTATACTCCGATCAATCAAATGGACATGGTGCTGTCTTTTATTTTGCATGTTACATACTCTATGTCTTTTGCTGATTTCGAACCACAGATGGCCTTAGAGTTGCTAGACGGATTTGTCCATTGTATTCAAAATCTAGGTTCGCGATGTACTGCCATAATAATCGGCAGCTATCAATATTGTATTCTTCATTTGATCAGAGACCATGGAAAAACATGAGTAAGTTTCATTTCGAGTTCGCACAACCAAGCGACCTCATATGACTTGAGAGTGGATCACTAACCAAAACCTCAACCGCCATATGCGTTCAGACGGAAAGCTTGACTGTATGCTTTATGCACCGGTCTGTAAGTTTGTGGTGGGTTAAGTTCTTGGTGGGTTGCAGAGGAACTGTGAGGACACGTGTAAACCTACTGTTAGGGAATGTTTAGATCGCTAGGAAAAATATAAATTTTATCTAGTTTCGAGCACGAGTTAATGTATACTTAGAGTCGCGCACGCGTTGAAGATATGTTTAATCATTAATGAAAACCGGTGGATTAATACCGTATTACGGATTATTATGGATGATATTCAGTATTTACCACTCATGTATCATGTATTAGAATGGCGACTAACTCACCTCGACATGCTTACATCGTCGGATAAAATCTATTGCATAATGTTCCACATAGTCATTATAATCCGCAGGACTAGATTTTTGGACAATACAAGCTACGGCCAGGACCAGCTTTCGAATGACTTCCATATCTGATTCCGTTTGTCCGGATATTGAAACTACATCTTGTTGACTGATCGAACGACGGCGTGTGCTCTCGGTGTGTATGTAATGTCCGGTCTGGCTAGTGCGCAATGTCAAGCGACGATGATACTTGTCCAACAGGTCGAGAAGCATGGGTAAGAAGCGATGCAGTAATAAATCCTAAAATACGAGAGGAGAAACGTGGTTGATACTAACAAAAAATACAGTCACTGCATGCATCAGAACCAAGTATGACATATACAACAAAAACCGAAATGCTTAGGATCGACAGTCTAGGCGAGAAAACGCAGCGTTATATAATAATTATCATATACCTGAATGTATGCGATGTTGAACCACGGGACCCATTTGAAATGTGCACAACCAAATTTCTGAGGATTTTAGTTTGATGCACTGTCTTCTTTTCAGCCTTTCGCTTTGGAAAAAACAGAAACTGATCGATCAAGCGAAGGAACAATTTAAACGCCTGTGTGGCAGCACTTGGATTCAACATAAGCTGTCACATTATTCATCTTTGGCGCTAAACAAAACTGTTCAGAAGGTGAAACAATGAAGAAAGGAGCCTTCAGAATAACGCACCCAAACACCCCTCGACCACACAAACACGTGTTTCAGTCAGCAGTTAACACACTTGAATATTCCCTCACATGCTCAATTGCATAGTTCATTCATACGGTGATCGAGTTCCAATATAAATCTGTCACAAAAACAATCAATAGGTTATCACGTTTGCTAGTCCAGAAATCGACAGATCTGCAAGCAAACAAACAGACAGATAGAGAAAGATGTCTTTGAATGATAAATTTTGTTCTATATTTCCTCTCCATCATTCGCAGTAGTCTCCCGTAAACCCGACTGGGTTGGTGATTGCTGCTCCCAAAAATGGTGGATAAAGGTGCTCGTGCAGAATGTTCACAGTTTGTGTTCGAGGTAACTGAATGCATTACAACTGGATGAGATTCGGTGTTATCATTGCAATGTTCGACCGCTAGTATTTGCTTATGCTCAGAGGAGTGGACAGACTATTTCCCGACTGCAGTGTGCGGTGTAGACCCTACATCTTGGACGTTTGTTCGTACCACAGCATTGTGATCTATTGGATCTTAAATTTTTCAGACAAATGACAAAGATTTGGAATTGATCTTTAATCTATGTTTATCAATTTCAGTTACATCAAAAACAGAAGTGCACAATACTCAGGGATGAATCGAATTTTCTGTTTCTATTATCGTCCATAAGCATAATTGTCTTAAATTATTATTATTAGTAGTAGTAGTAGTAGTGATAATGATTTTCATTTGTTTGTATGGAACTTCTTGCTATACCAGATCACTTACTTTTGGAAATCGATCCACATTCAGATGAATGTTTTGCAATGCACGGATTCGATCCTCCTGCGATTTATCCTCAAAACTGAGCAGTACATCCAAACAAAGCATGGATGGGTCGTTGAAGAATTTGAGCTACAATGAGAACAAGTGCATGTAGAGGAATGGGGTGCTTTACACGAGTGAAGTTGAAAACGGTCGAGGATCAACTAGTAGTTTGCTTCCCCCACAGCGTCACCAAAACTGTGTTTTCGGGGAGAAAATGCTGATAACGTCACAGACATTTGATTGACAAAGCGTTTTCAAAGCACCATAACTACTCGAATTGCACAAACCACGAAGTCTTTGGTTAACATGGGATAGGACCTGCAATCAACCAAAAAACTACCGAGAATGGATTTATGCAACTATCCGGTTAGTTGTGATCTGGAAATTCTCAGGTACCGCCTGGGTGAATCCGTATCTGGCCTTTTGGAGAAGACATGACCTCGAATAATTCAAGATGCTCAATACACCTCCGGACTGATATGCAAAAGGTTCTGCGAGTTGAGTATATCCCATGGGACTAGTTTATGCGCAGTTTGAAACAGTTGAGAAAATAGTGTAAAAGTATTACAAACAAAAGATGTTTGTCCACATACTGAAACTATTCACAACTAAATTCTTCAATTATATGTGCATTCACTTACATTCATCTTAGACAAAGTTGCAGGTACTAACTGCTCGTTTGACGCGTCTTGATTGTTCTAACGCCTACGGATTCCTCTCGATCGGAGGGTGCTTCTTAAGCGTTCGACTGTGTTCCGTTTGAGAAGATCCTGTAAAGATCTTGATATTGTCCTGATTGGGTGGTCCTTGTCTCATTCAAACAGCACATGACCGGGACACCGTCTGCATCCCGAAATCATGAAACCTGTATAGAATTCCTAAACCGACTCCGAACTAAAACTGCTCTCTACACTTTCATCAGTGTATGGATTAAGTGCTTTGTGGTGCTTTAGTATACTATACGGAAACTATCACCTGTTTTTAGGAAAGGGTGTTATAAAATGTAGATGTAGTAGAATTTATTCCTACTTATTATCGGTATGTATTAATGCAGTATGCTACAGTGGGTATACGGTTCTGCTGTTGCCCGGTTCATTACCAAATATGGCTTAGTGAATTCTTATTTGGCTCACTACTTCAGGTCCCAGGATGGTGATGCAAATTACAATAAGCAAATCGTTCACGCTTAAACCTTCTCGCATGCTTGACTCATTCGCAAAACATATACATTCTCATTATCCTCACCAACATTCAGAGACGGAACTGTGACACTGATTTCGTGGCGCAATTTCTTCTTCCACCGTCAGATACTTTGTCTCGCTTGCAATCTCAAATGTTTTCTAGCCAATTTGCTTTCGTCCGTAAGAATTTAGGTCGAACAAAATAATTGAAAATTCATTATTATAACTCATTCTAGTGAAGTTCATGGGCAAAGTAGGGTGGTTACTGGTATAGGATCGAACGTCAAAAACGTCGGAGCGTAAAGTTCACATTTGTCTGGGTTTTAATCGAGGATCACGTAACTCATCAACTCTTGAAAACAGATGATGGATTCAAGACAGATGGTCAGAAAAACCGGGAAACATGAGGCAGCAAGGTCAACGTGAATATGTTTGATACGTTTGAAAAGTATCCGTATTTCAAGCTATTTAAATGTTTATCTTTAAAAAAACAAAAATCACCTATTTTCTTTAAGTTAATTTTGAATATTCCTCATCTGATTTACTGTCCTTCGCACGCAGAGTGGGTAGAAACAGCTTCGAAGTTCATGTGGTTTGTTTTCTCCGTTCTGTTTCAGGGAACTCGTTCATTGTGTCTAACTTAGCTGTTGGCACGTGATTTAAATTGTTGTCGACTAATGTTTCAACGTAATTTATGCCCACAAATGTTGAGAAATTCATTGGGAGCCGGTGTATTTGTACCACGATAAACTGATTTGGTAAGTCCTAGAGCAGTCAAGCTTACTTTCGTGGATGACAAATTGTTTTACGTCTTACCCCAAACCTAGAAAAAGTCTATTTTCTATCATCGGAGCAAAAGACTGTTCTGTGTGCTCAGAAGTGTGTGCAAAAGATTTGATCTGACCTCTTTGTTTGCTGCAAACTGTTGCTGTCTTTCGTCTACTATTTTACCTTTAACGTACAGAAAAAAGCAACGAAATAATAACGAAATTTCTGTAATTTTGTGCAAAATGTATATACTAAAATGAAGTAGTGTGAGGTTCATTCAAATACTATTTTGGAGGCTTTTGAAGAGTAATTAAATCATTGAACTTCCAAAGTGCTTCTTGTGATTATGTTCGGTATACCGGTTTGATTCTTGCCGCACAAATTCCATTCCGTTAGTATAGTGGGATAGCTGATGTAGAGGTGCCTTCAGTATGAGGGTTGCGAATTGAAGACAAGATCCGGTGAGGATGAAGCACAATTCCATAGCTGCCTGGTTGAGTGGATGAACCGGGATTGTGCGTGAAGGTAAAATATGAACGACAGACGACCGATTGGCCGGAATTAAAGTCGTACTTTGCTTGGTGCAAAACGTGTGCTACTGACTTCTTCTGATGAGAATGAAAAACATTGACTTTATGGTATGGATTACTTATGTTCACTGTTGTATACCGTTTTTCCAATGTTACTGAAAGTTATTTCTTTTGTTGTTCTGTTCAGGATAAATGGTGATAACTTCAGATTCAGCACTAGTGAGTCAATGAACTGAAACAATCATTTTCTTCATCCACGATTTGGTGCTGTCAGAGAAGAAACCTACTGGTTATTGTTCGTTGTAGAAGAAGAAACACATCCCTACAGCTGCTGTATTTTTTGTAAACGATAAATCGTATGTAGTATATAAACGTATAACCATTTCCCAATAAAATAAAACTCACCAAAGAGAACAGTTGGGAACTGGGGCGTTTCTGACTAGAACGGGACAACATTTTCTCCACCGGTTCGACCAATTCCATGGGCATTCGAGTAACAGCCGTGCGGAAGGCTTCCGGGATCTGAAGAGTATAAAACGAGGGTTGTATAATTAAACACCGTATACTGGTCGTTCTCGGCCACAATGGATACTGTATGTTGTCTTGAAGTAAAACTTCTTCAGCTTATGCAAATGATCTCGGTTTGAGGAAGCGTCGAACTCCATCGTCACGAGCGCCTGCTGTTCATCTATAGCAAAGGGACGAACTGTTTTCTTTGGAATAACTGTGCACACTGTCTGTGGCTTCATGAGTATATAATGCCATTTCGTTAAACTTTCGGTATCTTAATACTATCTAGTACACTGAAAATGTAAAAAGGTCGTTACTAGTATTGATCAATCTCTGTGAAATGTGAGTGGTAACGTGGATTGTTCTTTCTCTGCCTATCACGTACAAACTGATACTATATATCCATATCAGTAGTATCTATGTAGGTAAATGTTGGTTTACGATGCTTTTGGATCGTTGCATACTGTTTCTGTGGGATTGTTATTTGAAAATCACACCTCTTTAGTACTTAGTTAAATGTAAAAATACTGCAAGATCAGTCGGCAGAAGCGCTTCAGGCTGGCTTTCGGGACCTCCAATACGAAGGACTCATCACGGAAAATATAAGATAACAATGAAGGTGTTTTCTTGTAACTTTAATTCCTAAAAATGGGGTATGTGCGCAACGCTATAAATATAGCACGGTTCTATTTTGGTTTTTTCTGGGCGCCACCAAAAAACATTGACTTTTCTGCATTTCTTTTCTGCCTGGAATCTCTAGGAGGAATATCTCGCTAGTCATGGTTCGGTGACAGTCTGACAGACAATAAATTTGTTATTGCAAACAGCTTGTACAGCATTGAATTCTGTGTTAGGATTGGTTTTACTCAGTAGAAACTAAAGAAATTTCAATTTCATTAATATTTCTGTTCCCTTCTGAAACAGTATTACCGAGGCACAAATGAAAAGGGATTATCACAATCCTAGCTAGTCCAAATGTGCAAATGTTGCCATCGATAATGACAATGGTGTGACACCTCAATCGGGAGAGGCCATGTGAGCTGCCTTACAATATAATTGGCTTTCAGGCAACCGTGTACGCTCTTACCTCGATAGTGAATCTACCCTTTGCGTTGAAACCAAACCACTTTAGGCTTCCTTCTCACAATTATTGAGGAGATATACTGTGCTCCTCTCTTAGAAATCTCAAGGCCGAAGAAAGTCACATCCCTTATTTGTCATCTCCCTGTCTGATGGAAGCATATACCAAACAGTTTTGAGCACTTATTACGGAGTTTTTAACTAGTGTTTTTTTCACCAGTACATTCTTTGGTTAATAAACGTCTGTCGAAATATGCTCCACTCCACACAAATGCTTATAAAATTACCAAGCTGAAAATCTCTTCCAGTGAAAGTTTTCGAGAAAAGAATTATCAATCTTAACGTTTCTACACTTTGGTTCACAACCTCTTTTTCATTGGCAGGTGAGAAAACCACACCTAAATGGAATCCATTGATTCTAATGTATAGTGCATATAGAATTTATATAATGTGTATACAATGTACGATGTGGCGTATTAGTCTACTACAAAGGTACATTGCGAATACATTTCAAATGTAGTGATTTGGATAGCTCTCTACAAAATCGAATCAGAGATGTACTTAAACATCTTTGAATCATCCTTAGACTATATGCAAAAGTCTTGAAGACCGTATATTCACTCCTTGGTTTTTTCCAAGTGGTCAGTCACCAGCTGTTTGGAACCTCGGCGTGGTTTATTCATCGTAATGACAAGGGTGTATTGCCAGCCGAAATTCTGACTATTCTGTCTTGTTTGGAATGCGCGTTCATTTTCTTGTCCCAGTGGAACATCATTCACAGAATGTGTAGTTAGTCATTCGTCACAACATAATCGTAAAACTTACTTCGTATGAATGAACAATGCAACAATGAAACCAGCTATTTTGCAATAGCTTCAAGCCTAGTGAAAAAGCTACGCTTCCTACGTATCCACCCTATTTCACGGCATATATGAGAATCGCGGTAGATTAACAAGGTAGATTCTCCGTCTTGTGTTGCCAGTAGTGGAAGATACTGCAATTCACTTCCGCTACCCACTCATATTGTACACATGTTCCAGGTGACGTCGTCTTGATAAATGCCGGCGGTCGTACATATGAACATATATCTCTTGAGGTAAAACGAAACCAGATCATTTTGTTTTCATTTTTGTGCAATTCCATTTTCATTTGACGAGGAATATACATTGTGATAAAACTACTGTCCCGATGAACGCTAGTGGATGCCTCCAACAAAGCTTGCAAACATGTTGAAATCAAAGCCTTGCGATCAAATGAATGATAGTATGCTAAACGTGATCTTGTTTGCTTGTGTTCTGCTTATATAGGGCTGCATATTCGATCTTTTATTGGTTCGATGGACTCACCAAGTTAGGAGATGCTTAGTTCGACACGACTGTGCACTTGACCTAAGTATATCCGTTTTTATCGTTTATCTTTCTCAAATACGACAGAGCTCCTCCTTGCAGAGTTGGTTTGTTGCTCGGATGTCTTTTGGAAAATCCCACATGAACATTCCGTTAGTTAGGTTATCTATCTTCATCTGATTGAATTCGATTGAAATGATCACAGTCAGACTCAGCGTTTGATCTATAAAATACCACGAAAAATGTTTTAACTCACACTGGAATCGTTGCGTAACCTTTCAACGCGAGTGGCCTCAGCGCTGAATTCAGGCGATACGTCGGTCGGAGCACCGACGTTTGATTCCATATCGTCTGTAATGGTGTTTTGCACGCGTGCTCGAGGGGCATACTGTCGCTCGTATGAGGTTTGTGCGGGTTCCCCTGCTTTGTACACCACACAAATAATCAGACCCAGAGAGAACATATCGGACCAGGGGCCTGGTTGGTCTGATGAGGTGAATGTGGCAGACGCGCGCGAACCGGCCTCGCCGAGACGAGACTTACTCGGAGCGGCTTGTTCGTAGGCTCCACTACCTTCATGAAACAAAATAACATCCTGACCCTCTGGCGCAGGTCGTCCTTTCCGGGACACAAATGGAGCTGTCCATGTGGCAGTTAAACTAAGACATTCCGGAGCAGCAAACCGCGGGTCGGGACGGGCCATCTTGGGCAACTTACGACTCCAGGGTGAAGTCGATAGATCAATCTAAATCGGACAAATGATGAGCATGGAATATAGCGTAAAGACATCAATATGCTACTGAGGGGAAACTCATAAAACTTGCTTCGTACCATTCACTCGAAACTTTATGAATGTAAACATTAACAGTAAATCGGCACGTATTAAACCCATAGATGGGTGACCCTGTCAAAGTTCAGTTTTAACCAAAAATTCACCACTGACCAGAACCATCTGGATCTATTTTTATTTGTATATATTTATATTGATGAACGATGAAGCTGGTAATACAAAAGAAAATGTGCAATCGTACACATGAGATTTCGTTTAAGTTCATGACGATTATTATAGAGGAAGACAAACACGGTGAGATGTTCAAATTTGGTTTGGTCTCCTTAGTCACTAAAACGTCAAACAATGGGGTATTTATACAATAAGATTTTGATAACTACGGTGGTTTAACGAACAATAGTCAGGGGAACAGGAGAAGGATTCCGTGTCACAGCAGTTTTACTGATTGCGTGAGAAACGTTTGTGAGCAAACGATTAGGTGACGTAACTTTATTAGCATCGCCTGGCTAAACGGCAAGGATCTGTGTTTTGTGTTACATAATAACGACAAATGTGGATCACCGATAGGTCCAGTTGTCATGATATGTTTGCGAGTGATCAGATTGACCTCTAGCATGGTTGTGCGTCATTGATGATCTCAACCACTTGGGAATTTTTTCAGACGTCCGTTGTGACAACCGCTGAATCTTGACAACCGGACACACATCATTGATCCGTAATTTGTCGTTGAAGCAGTTCTTATGTGACAAGAATCCCAGGCTATTGGCGTTTAGCAGCAAGGGGATACTGATGAAGATACATAACCCAGTCTTCTGTGCACAAAAAATTCTGAAGCAATCAGCCAAATTGCCGTGCAACGGATTCTCACTCCGCCCGCCC